TAATTCCTAAATTAATGGAAATAATTAACAATAATATATGTAATTGATGTACATTATATATATTTACACTTACAAGCTTAATTATAAATACAGTAATACCGATAGCTCATGTCACTTATTTATAACACCTTTAGTTTTTTTTTTACTTTATAAATACGAATAAATTTATTATTTTATTTTAATTAAAGTAAATATCCTTGCCTAATAGTGTATTTATTTTAAGATGCCTCATATTTCGTTCCTTATTACCTGAGATTGCACGTTCGACTCTCGAGTGTTCGCTTCTGTACGTATATTTGCGAGACAGAGTTTAACCGTCCTTCCATATCCTCTCCATTTTCCTTTATTAGCTCTCCGATCAGTCTTTCAAGGGTTTGGACATAACAATAGGAATTAATTATTAATTACACTTTATTTGTAAGTAATTACCTATCTGATATATCCATTATAAATAATATAGCTACTTTATCTGAAGTGCTGAATCATGATTACAAAGTTCAACTTCAAAGAAGTTGAAGATATCGCACACCGTTTATCACTTCAATAACTGTACATATGGGAATACCCGTAGGTTAGTGGAATTTTAGAGTGAGTAATGTTTTGCAAAATCACACGCATTTATTGTTTTCTTGTTATTTAAAAGAAACAAAAAAATCCATAATTAAATATTTATACTATCAAAATCAGACTCGTAAGTTATTTCACTTATAATATTCGGTCTTATTTGATAATTTCGAGGATGAATTTTCTGATGATTACAGATGCTAAAAAGCTTTTATTTTCTATTAATTATATTTTAGGTGTGTTTTCTCAAGAGAGAAAGATTCTGGATTTTAGAAGAATAAGCGTATTTATTCGACATTGCAGAAAAGAAATATTGTCCTTTTATGAAGAAATCTTACCAGAAAAATTTATTTGCAAAATCGATTTATTTCGATGAAACCGAAGTTATAAAACCGATTTATTGGAAATGTCAGAACATTCCCATTGTAACTGTTTGTATTCCTCCATTGTATGAAATTAATAATTATATCATTATTGATTATGTCATTACGTAATTATATCATTTGATTAATAACTGTTATTTTAATGTTAGTGAAGAAATGTGGTCCTATAATATATTATATATTGTTTATTTACATCGCCTAAAGAGACGTTCCTTCATATGCCAATTATTGCGAGGAAATTAATTCTTATTGCGGAAATATTACCTGCCCGGCCAGTAATTACTAAGGCCTCGACTTAGGACGCTCGCACAGAATGCAAGAGATCCGGATTCGACTACCGGCCGGGCAGGTAATATTTTCCGCAATAAGAATTAATTATTTATTATAGATTTTAATATGTTATTCAACATTATTAAGATCGTTTCGAAGATGCGAATAAGCATCAAAAATTTGTTAAATTGCTAATTAATTTAACTCGTGATATTACTGCGGTATGTTAGTAGAGTTATCGTTTTTAAGACCGAAAAATTATTTCGGCGCGCGTTTCTGGAGACTACATACGTAGTATATAAATTCACACAAGAATCATACAAGCATTTAAGATCTAGCTAGACCGTTTAAGGCTTTGATTTCTATAGTTTGTGTTATCACTTATATGCCGTCAAATAATATATTATATTATTGTTATTTCTATTACACTAAAATTTAAAGTAATTTTACAAAAAAAAGAAGAATGTATGAATATGTATGGACATATTTCATATATGATTATACGTGTTTATGAAGCAGATTTTGTATTGTTTGTATGTTTATACATATTTATATATAATAATGTATGAAAAATTTGTTACCATATCTCGTTCAAAGTAGAATTTATCAATGAAAAAAATAAGTAATGATGCATTTCCAAAGTGATTTAAAATTAAAGGTAGTCATTTTGAATGTTAATTATGATCTGATATTTAATTCGATATAATACTCCAGAATTTTAAGATTTAAGTAGCACTCGCAATTATATAATTTTCCAATGTTATAATTTAATATTATAAAAAATGAACAATTTGTATATTACATACACAATGACAATATTGAAACTATATTAAATAAGAATCGGCAATCCTTACTTGGGTAATTATATACGAATTGTTTATTCTGCAGAAATTCCAACAAGAAGCTAGAGAATAATAAATTACTACAAGAATATTTTATTATATAACAACGATTATGTGTGAATTCGTTTTCACCAAAAAATAAATTAAAAACGATACAAAACAATAATATTTTTAATATAAGAAATACAAATAAACTCTCAAGAATGTCAAAATATAAATAGAGAACAGGCTAATGAGAGTTTTTTCGCGGTAAGTCGTGCGAGCAAATGATTTATTAAATACGAAAAAATCAGACGTTTCGGCTTACATTCGAGCCATCCTCAGTGTATCTGATCCATATACAATCAAAATTCTTAGCTGGTTTGATAGGAGAGTGCCCAATCATTCCGCTTCATTTATAAAGACACCAGGTTAACAGATCAGGCAACCAAATAAATTGAAGATGAATTCTATATAAATAATCCAACCATTATTAAGGTATTAAGGAAGAATGTAAAATAAATGAAAACTTTAGAAAGGTCACTCATCCATCAAACCGTGAACATAATCAATTAAAAATTAAATTAATTTCGCTGTATACATCCGCATCCATACATACTTAGTAATAACTTGTGCATGTCAACAAGACAACAGTTAGCAATCAAAAGCTGGAAACACAATAGACACAGGCAATAGGCACAAGCAACAGGGAATAATGAGCCATCCAATCAGAGCTCTGGGATATAATATCGAATTTATACCCCAAAGCTCTGATTGGAGGGCTCGTTATTCCCTGTTGCCTGTGCCTATTGCCTGTGTCTATTGTGTTTCCAGCTTAACTGTCAAAGATTTAACTTAAGTGTCGGTTTTCATGTAGCTATGAGCATAAACAATAAAAAACAAAGACGATACATCCGAACATTACAAGCATAGAAATACGAGTGCAACATATCATTTACTACGTTTACACGGCACGCTTTACGCCGAAGTTATAACATCGATGTTATAACTTCGGCGTAAAGCGTGCCGTGTAAACGTAGTAATTGAAATCAATGTAAATTGTCAAGAATCGAAATATACGCGTGATGCAAAAATTCGGTGTCAGATTGCAGATTTAGACTGTTCTTTTGCAACTTAATGTGTAACATTTCAGAAATACGTCGTCTATACAAAAATCGTTCGCTATCGACAATCTCAGTGTTCTCCCAACCAAAATCGTGGCCATGCTCCAATCTGTGTTCTGTGATAACTGAATAATTGTTATTGCTTTTTCTAATATCATTTCGGTGTTCTATGATTCTCGTTTTTAACTTCCGCTTTGTCTGGCCGACATACGAAGCATCACAGTTATTGCAATTAATTTTGTTTTTATAAACTACATGCTTCTTTGCCATGTTCGGTAACGGATCTTTGTGTGTTTTAATGAAACAGTTAAGCTTGTTAAGACTAAAGAAAGCCATGCTCACATTGAGATTCTTTGTGATATCCTTAAATTTATCCGAAATTTTCGATACAAAAGGGACTAAAAACCACAACTTTTTAACATCCTCAACGGGAGTTTCTGTCATAATTTTTTGTTTTGACGTTTTGTTATATAGGTACTAATAATTTTAGACGTTCATTTATTGTGTTGAAAATTAAATCAACCAGATAATCATTGTTCAACAATGTCTCCACTACAAAAATCAGATTCTTTTTATGGTATTTAGGAACAGATAACAAAAATGCTCTATCAACCATTCCAATGATAGTTCCTCTTTTTTGTGAAAGTGGATGTTGAGAAAAAAAATTCAAATATCTCCCAGAAAATCTCAGAGGTTCTATTAAGGGGGCTCCCATGGCAATATCATCAACATATCTTACATAAAAAGATAATATTTTTTTTAAAGACCAAACGTAAGACGATATAACAAATCAAACTAACCAAGATTCCTTATAAATCAAAGAATTGGAAAGAATACGGGTGTTAGGAGTCAAGCACAGAAGATGTCGCGCAAATAATACACTTATGAAGCTTGAAACTTCTTTATTCAAGAAACGCGCTTACATGTTTCGGCTCATTTTTAGCCTTCCTCAGAGCAAACGCAAACTAACATATATAAAGTAAAAGTTATCTTGTCATGGTGAGCTCCCCTACATCGAGAATTTAAATGCCAGAATTAAATAAAAAGAAAGAAAAGGAAAATGAAAAAGAAGGGACATATTAAAAATGTCGAATTAAAGAATATAGAAACTATATGACAATCTTGTGTTTCGCGGGTTTTCTCCGTGTTCAAATCCATTCTTGGAATGCCAACGTTTCGTGAACCTTGCAGTCCACTTCAGTATCAGGCTGCTCCTCGCCCTGATGAAGTGGACTGCAAGGTTCACGAAACATTGGCATTCCAAGAATGGATTTGAACACGGAGAAAACCCGCGAAACACAAGATTGTCATATAGGAAACACCCGTGAAAGCCTCAAGAATAATATAGAAACTAATTTATCAAAAAACTTTAAGAATATAATTAATATTATCCCGAAAATAAGGACGCTTACCACGATTACAAAACACCGTATCGCAAACATTACTATGAATAATTCAAGAGCCGCTTCCTGATATGTTTAAATTCTCGATGTAGGGGAGCTTACCATACAGGATAACTTTTACTTTATATATGTTTGTTTGTGTTTGTTCTGAGGAAGGCTAAAAAATGAGCCGAAACATGTAAGCGCGTTTGTTGAATAAAGAAGTATCAGGCTTCATAAGTGTATTATTTGCGCGACGTTTTCTACGCTTGACTCCGAACGCCCGTATTCTTTCCAATTATAAGACGATATATTATGATAGAAAACGATAACGCTTTGTGCAAACTTTATCGATTCTCATATCTTTCTTTGTTGTTATTACTACGTAGCAAGCGATATCGTACCGATCCTATATATACACAGATATCTCACGATATTTTATTGGAATATCCTAGATATTATTTACTCAGTCGTCTTTCAGACTGCATTTGGAAATCTGGAATAATTTAGGATTTTTTCGAGATAAATTGTGCTGTGGTAGTCACGATAATTGGTAGTTAATTCACTAAGACACATTTTTTGTCAGTTGCTACATCAAGTACTAAAGAAAATTTGAAGGAAAAATAAAAAGACATAAAAATTAGTAGCATAGGAGAAGCAAGATAAATATAAGCAAATGGACGAAGAAGCTCAGGCACTTTCTACAGTTTTGACCGGCAAAGAACATGAGAGTTTGGAAAGTGACAAGGTTAGTGTAATGAAGAATGAGTTTATAAACTTTAAATTGTGAAAAATGAATGCAATAAGTATAAATTTTTTTATTAGACAAAAAAGAAAAGTCGGGAGACATCAGTAGATAGCACTTCCGATACAGAAAAAACGAGACAGGTGAGCACAGAAAGCAATGATTTCACAAACAATAGTCAGCAAAATATTGGCGATTCTCAAAGCAGTTTCAAAAACAGTCAAGAAGGTTCAAATTCAATAACATCTGGAATAGAATATCTCATGCATACGTATCAAGTTTTTGATTCCAAGAAATTAAGGAAAAAAGCTAGAAGAATGGCTATTCAGATGATGGAACAAATTGGGTACACAGTAATGGTTGTAACACCAGGAAAGTTTGCGATAAAATATGCTTCTTCAGCGCCTTACCATTTATTTTTCACGAGAGTCGACAATTCCAAAGAGACTTATAATCAACAGTTCTCCATAATTTTCTCTGAGATTCTCGATCGTAGTCTTGGAGAAATTGTTAACAGTCTTCATTTAACTTTTATGGTAGATGTCACATGGTTGTATTTGCAGTATTTGTTGGTTGGTCAACGTACCGATATGACAATTCTGTGCAAACATAAAACACGTGTTCATGAGGAATTAAGTAAAAATATTACTATAATAAAGGTAGACGGGCAGGAGTTCTCAAGTCATCATACGAACATCATGATTCTGCAATATAAAAATGGGATTAGGGTGATTGTCTCTACTGCTGGTTTATATTCTGCTGATTGGGAAAACAGGACACAAGGGTCCGTTAAATACACTTAGATATTTCTTATTGTTAGTCGTATAATTTTTGTTTATAAACATTCTTTTTATTATGTCCTGATTAGATTGTGGATTTCGCCTCATCTGCCTTATTTGCCAGAATCCGCACATCCTAGTGATGGGGAATCTTCAACGGGTTTTAAAAAAGATCTCGAGCGATATCTGAGTAAATATGACCAACCGGTTTTGACACAGTGGATATGTGTAGTACGGAGAATAGATTTTTCAGACGTAAACGTGTTTCTCGTCGCTTCTGTTCCTGGAATTCACAAAGGTTTCGAAGCCAATTTTTGGGGATGCAAGAAATTGGCGTACGTTCTATCACGCTATGTCACACTACCGCCAGATACACAGTGGCCTATAGTCATACAGAGTTCTGGTGTAGGCTGCTTTGGTTCAACCATCGAAAGTTGGTTGTTGAAAGACATAATTCGGTGTATGTGGAAGGAGACTTCTGTAGGTTTAAAGAATCATCCACAGTTTCAGTTTATTTATCCGTCAATAGAGAATTATAAGCAAAGCTTTGATTGTCAAGATTTAATTACCCCATTGATGTACAGTGCAGAAATACATTCCAAGCAGCAGTGGCTAGAACAATATTTATAGTAAGTTACAGTAATTTATTTTTATTTTATTCAAATATTTACGCTCATGTTTTTATATTTTAGAAGCAATCCGATTTTCTACAGCTAGAATTTTATATTTATTTCTTAACTTTTGTAGTCAATGGAAAGCTACGCGAACAGGACGAGATCATGCAATGCCTAATATTAAATCCTACACAAGGATTTCTTCCGATTCGAAAAGAATTCCTTGGTTTTTGCTCACCAGCGCAAATCTGAGCAAAGCCGCATGGGGATCAATCAAACAATACGAAGGTTATAGTATAAGAAACTACGAGGCCGGCGTCGTATTCATACCAAAACTTATCGTAGGCGTCACATTATTATTTTAATAATTTTTGACATTTATGGATATATATTAGAGGAGAAGGTGGTATTATGGGACTCCAATTACATTCTACACTATAACTGTTAATAATCAATATTTGTATTCAATAAGTTTAAAACTTGGCAATTACATTCGTAAAAATGTTGTTGAATCGATTCTGGACTTAAAGTCATAAAATATTTATTACTTAGGAGACTTTTAATAAAAATGTGGCGACATTGCATAATGGCTCGAAGAAAAACATGGGTGATATTGTGGCCTTCCATAAAAATAGCCTTAGAATATTAGTTTTGTTTAAAAAAACAGTATTTGGTTACAAAATTAACAAAAAAGTAAAACATTTTAAAATGTATGCAAATAAATGTTTATACATTCACATAACTTCTGCATATAAGCTGTTCAATACTAGAAATCTTAGTACTAAAAATAGTACACGTAATATGAACTATAGGTTAATAGTAAAATTACAAGCGACTGTCAAATAATTATTTTAATATAAAAACTTTAAAGAAGAGATCGTGAGTTATCAATACTCATAGAGGGCCACCTTAGCAAAATGCCATGCTATTGTTTAAATTTGCACAATTCAAAATATATACAGTCAAATAAAATGTTAAATTGCATATAACACACTCAAAAATACATATCTTTATGTGATAATACGCTCAAGTTTAAGAAAAATGAGGATATAGATGTAATTAAATAATAAAATGTACATCATAAACGTTTCAAAATACTTGAAAGTAAAAATGTATTATAATAAGTGCTGGTTATTAATATATTAACGTCATGGTGTAACGACGAGCTACTGAACAAATAATTTCATGAGTAATCATTAATTTATTAGGGTTTGCTATATAATAGCGAAGATATTAAGGAAGGCCACAATATATACAATGGCCATAATACCACCTTCTCCTCTATAGAAATGTGTTTAAGGCATATTAATATTAATTATTACGTCTCGAACTTGTTTGTATTTAGACTGGGACAGCGACATTTCCTATTGAAGAAGAAGAAGATGCAGCTGTTCCAATATTTCCGATCCCATACGATCTTCCATTAAGCCGATATGATTTGGACGATAGTCCTTTCGTCAACGAATTTGTCGACTCTCTAAACTAAATGTAATATTTCAACTAGTGATGACACTAGTGTTTTTTATCTGTTTTAAATGATAAAATATTTTTGCATCCATATTTGTATTGTACGTTTATTGATTGAGGGAACGAGGCGCTGATAAATCAATTTATTTTGATGTTTAAATAGGAGTCGGCAACTTTATAAAAAATCAAGTTATTTTTTTAAAAATATGCGTTACTGTTATCATTACTTTTTGTAAAAAATAACATTATCGCTACTTATAACTAATTTTAAAAAGTAGAGGAGAATGGTGTGGTGGCGATCACTTAAGAAAATTTATTAATATTTTTAGTTAAAAATAATTTTTTCCTCAAATTTGTTGCAGGAGCATACATTACAGAATTATAACTTTAAAAAAACCATTAAAATAATTATTAGATGCATTAAATTTTTATTTATGGATGTAAAAAGATATAGTAGTTTTGATTGGTATGGCCCATCTGTGAGGGATTAGAGCGATCAGGGTGTGGATCATGGTAATCAGGGCGAAATCATGAAGATTAAGTCTATTTTGATAGAGAATTTCATTTGCAGATCATTAAAAATTATTTTTTATAAATCAATTATGTGAAAAAATTTCGCATATTAAACTATTTTTTAATTATAATAACATTTTCAACATGTATTATTCGAACAATAAAAAACGACTAATTAAGTAATTTTTTCTTTACACTTTATTTTGTAAGAACATAAATTGTAGATTCATTGTACTATCAAATTATTACTTTTTCACAATTTTCATTTATTAAATAAAATAAACTTCTTTCTTATTAACAATAAATATTTGGTAATTAATACACACATGGTGTAATACATGTGTATATACACTCATGTACATACATGTGATATTTATACACATACATAATACATAATACATACATACCCAGATAGCCAGACGTGTCGGAAGCACGCACTGTAAATGTACATTCTGTCAAAAAAGTACCGGGAATTGATCATAATGGAGATAGCAATTTTAAATTCGTTTTTTGGGATTGTAGTGTTACATTTTATGAAATCCCATCTCCTTAAAATACTATCAATGGCTAAATCATTTGGAATGTTAGTGTACATGGATGTGATGTCGAATGATACCAATTTATAATCTTTATTTAATATTAAGCCATTAATTTTCTTGACGAGTTCGAAACTATTTTTTATGTATCCAACATTCCTTTTAATGCTTTTGTCAATAATGTCTTTTAGATATGAAGCAAGATTAAAAAATGGACTATTAGTGCAACTGACAATCATTCTGAATGGATAACCGTTCTTGTGTACTTTGGCCAACCCATAAGATCTAGGACAATCCCCATCAGAAATATGTAATTTCTTATAAGTGGATTGGTCTATGTAACCTCTCTTTTTCCAACGTGTCAAAATTGTACGTATTTCCGTCGTCATTTTATTGGTGGGATCTTTTTCAATAGTCTTGTAAGTATTTTTATCAGTCAAAATTTCATACATTTTTTTATTATAGTCATTACGATTTAAAATTACAGTAGTGTTACCCTTGTCAGCTCTGGTGATTAAAATATCAGGGTGCTCTTTTATGAATTTGTTAAGTTCTTTAAGACCATTTTTGATTGTGTTGTTATTCAAATTGTTAGGTTGATTGAAATGTATCTTGTTTAAAATAGGAATAGTATCTTTTCTAATATCGTTCTTAGTTTTGTCATCTAATTTGATCAAATTATTCTCTATATGTTTAACAAACTCTATTGTTATGTTTTCTTTGTTTATAACATTATTAGGTAAATTGAATCTTTGTCCTAATTGTAAAATGCATTTAGAATTCTCTGGAATGTCAACGTTACTTAGATTTATTAACCAGTTATTATTAATTTTATTAAAATTGTAATCTGTATTAAAATTTTTAGGGCTGACATTGGTATTATGAACTACCGTCAAACTATTTGCTTGAATGTCATTTATAGAAATATTGTTAATTTTGGTCGGATAAAAAGTATTATTTAACTCTTTGTCAATAGGTTTCGTAATCTTCAAATTGTAATTAATATTTTTTATTTTTTCTTTCTGTGTGCGAAATTTTGCTGCTTTCAGATTTTTAATTTTTTTGTCAATATTAAAGTTTTCTTGATTCCATAGTTTGTTAAAATTCAATTCTTGGCGATGGAAAAACGCATTACAAATGTCAAATGGAAGAGAGTTTGTAATTAATTTATAATTCTTAAAGAGATCATGTCTTACACAATTGGATTTTTTGTTTGCAACAATCAATAATAGAATTAAAACTTTAGCTCACAATAAAAATATAAACCAAAATTTTGATTCAACTACCAGTAATATAAAATACTTTACTATTCCATATTTTAAGAAAACATCTGAAAAGTTCATAACAGTTACTAAAAAATTTAATTTCAACATTGCTCATAAACCGTTAAACAATTTACGTTCATTTATAAAAACAGGTAAAGACACTATTAAAAAAGAAGACCGGTCTAACGTAATATATAAAATAAGTTGTCGTGATTGTGATTGCACATATGGTTGGACAAACCAAACGAAAACTCAATACCAGACTAAAGGAACATAAAAATGACTACAAAAAACCAACAAATAATTTGTCTGTCATATCCCAGCATATGTTAGATTTCAATCACAAAATTGATTGGAATAATACGAACATAATTGACTTTGAACCATCATATTACAAACGATTGGTCTCAGAAATGATCCATATAAAGAAACAGAAAAATAGTCTGAATAAACAAAATGACACGGAACGTTTTCCAGAAATTTTTCCAGAAGTATTCTTCGATTATTGGGAATATCCCCTCTTCTCAGTAATGAGCTTTCATCCCTTCCTACAATATTTCCCTTTCTTTTTCTGAAAATATAAAATATAAATATCACCTCTGTTCATGTAAGTAGTCATAACGATTTGGTCGACAGAATATACTAAATAACATAAAATTTCCAATATATAAAATTTCAAATCAGTTTACATAACGCAGTACTGAAAAAGAATTGTGGACTTCTTGGAGGAACATATATCAGCGAATACGTGGTGAGCATATTAAAAATCACATTTGACGAAACGTGATTGCATTGGGAATTAATTGACATAATATTTGATTATTAATGGCTTTTGTTTTTTTGTTTATTTTTTTGGTTCTTCCAATAATCTACATTAGCAATCACGTATTCGACGGACACAAATTTTATATATAATTTCACGATAAAGATTTTCTACATGCGCAATACATCTCTTTCTGCGACAATACATACGATTGCGAATTTTGTGGCGTTACATAACTTTTGAAAAAAATTTTTAATATGTATAGTTATTATGTTTTTATCTTGATCACTTGGATGTTTTAATTTGAATTATAATATGTAAATTTAATGTACTCTGAAGATGGTCACATGTTAGACCGAAACGTTTACCTAATTTTATTTTGAAATATATATTTTAAGCTAAACACATCAAGCGTTGTGGCTGGATGCTCCTTATTGTTTACAATTTTTAAACTTAAGCCACTTATTATTTTATTTATTTTTTAATACAATTTCTATTTAGCAAAATCTTATTCTGATTAAATGTACTTCTTTAATAAAAATGCATTTAGTTAATAAAAGTTAAATGTATGATATAAATTATATTTATTATGCGTGTTTTCTGCAGTCACGTCACGCGTCGTGACGGCAGGCTGTGCTCGGTTTTTGCTGTAGTTTTGCTGTCAGTACATATGACGACAGATCGTGTACGATTTCTGTTGCGTTTTTGCTTTTATCAACTGATAAGGAAAATCGCGTTCTATATCTGCCGCGTTTTTGCAATTACATCATGACGGCAGGCTGTGCTCGATATTTGCTGTAGTTGTGCTGTCAGTATTTAATATAATAACTCGTACTGTAGTCTCATCACGATTTCACCGTCACAATGTGACGTCAAATCATGCTTGATTTCTGCTATCTTTTTGCTTTTAGTATTTGAAATGGCAAACATTGCCCAATATTTGCTACGTATTTGCCGTCACGATACTTATAGCAAAGAATGCTCAATTTCTATTGCATTTCTACAGTCATTTTATGTTGGCAGATTATGCTGTTAGAAACTAAGCTTAAGGGGATGCTAAACCGATTACCCAATTCAATCAAGGTCGATAGTACAGACTCTTTTAATTACAAATTCAATAATAGTGGTGACATCTTTGATTTAGTTTTTACATTATATTATATAATATATATCATTCTGTCTTACTCAAACGCATACGTCTGTTCTTATCTAACATATGCCAGCACCATCTATCGCAAGACCGCGCAACTACTGCTACGCGGAATTTCGGCTCTGTTGACAGTCCGAGTCTTCGCAAAGCATCAGTATACACGTATTTTCTATTCGGTGGAAATATTGCTTTTCTAGACTTTCAATCTTAGTTCTACAAACTCAGTATCGTTCGTTTCAATAATGTGACCTCAGCTGCACGCTTATTTTCAAGATATGGGCTCTAAAACTCTTATATCAAGCAAATACATATCTGAGGTGACAGCTGTACGAGCCAAAAGTAAGTGAATTTTTAATTTTTTTTCGATTTTCTCATAAAATTCAGTGCAGCTGAGGTCCTGTTGATGCGTACTATAATTTAAGTAATAATACTTTTGCAATCCGTACATCCAATACAGAGATTTTTCACCGAATAGAAATGTGGTAAAACAGGGAGCTTTAGCATCGCCTTAATGAGGAAGCAGCCGCTTGATATCTGCCGCTTGATATCTGCAACGTCATGATCAAGTTTGCTGGCATACTGCTGGCATACTGCTAGCATTTTGCTATCTGGGGACATACATAATATATACATAATATTCAAAATCCTATATTGTAGACTCGTGTGAATTAATCATAA